CGCTGTTAAAAGACAGTATTAATGTCAGAAGGCATTTCTTTGTTTCCTTTTCACTCGGGATCCTCCTCTTTGTCATGTAAAAAAGAAAATAAGAAATAATAGGATGAAGGGTGAAGTGTAAGAGCAGCAAAATGGTGGAGAATGGGTAGACATAAGGGTCTACTCCAACACCACCGTGCCGCCTGCTGCCTCCAGAGCTGCTTTCAGTTTCTCTGCCTCTTCTTTGGATACATTGGCTCGGATTTCCTGGGGAAGAGACTCCACTAGTTTCTTAGCCTGTTTTAGAAAAGACAGAGAAAAACAAGATTTAGATCACATAATCTGTGAAAGCAGGAACTGGGACACTGTCCCGAGTAGAGGTGCTCCGATCACGGATTGCTGAAAGCAGTATCAGCCGATACCGATCAGAGTCTATTTGAAACCTTTTATTTGTCATGTATATTTATTTAATTAGTCCTAAAAAATGCATTAAGTATTAAAATTAACAGATGATAAAGTATCCTTCCACACTACTTACGGGTTTTTAAACAGTTTTATAACAAATACGATCTTCTCCTTCCACAGCAGCATTTTAGCAGCGTATCAGAGTTGATCTCCGTCTATATTAAAACGACTGAAAACACACATCTAGTGGCTGTTCAGGTACACTGGGCATGCGCGAGCCGGTGTAAACATGAAGCAGATGGTCTACTCCGCAGTTACAGAACATTTGGCAAAAGAAGAAAGTAATACAGATGAAGAACCACACCAGGTATTTTTTTTTTGCATTGACCGACAACAAAGAGACGGTCAAAGAGACGGTGGCGGCGGAAAACAGACTGGGAGTCGTCGCAAAGTAAACTGTTAAGTGTTATTTACACAGTACTATATTTTAATAAAAAAATACCGAAACTAAAACTGTCAGTAGCATCATGTTTTGCTTTGCATGACTGATAAAACCGACTCAGAAAGCCAAATGTGAGTGTCTGTGTCATCGTTTTATAATGTCCTCGGTTTTTGCCCACCGGGTCAGCAGCGTCTGGTTCACCGTTTTAGTCTGGGAGGCGGACACGTAGCAAAAGGTCTCCGTTTTATTACAAAAACAGAGAGAAATAGGCAGTTAGTTGATTGAGTGCATGGCGCCTCTCTTTGCATCAGGAAACTCACACTGAAGGATCAGTCTCTCTCCCTCTGCCTGATGCACTGAGTGTCTATTAAACTCCGGTTGCGGGTGGCGTGTGTGTGAGATGAGAACGACCGCTACAGTTTCACATAATCGCTCCTGCTTGTTGCTCCGCATGTCTGATTGCTGCTCAACTCTCATTGTAAATGATTAACTGGGCGCATCAATCGCTTCCTGTCTGAAAAGGACTTTGGTGCTAGCTAGCTTTGAAAACTGTTCAGACCGCATAGTGGTACCATTTTAGCTGCTGTTGAAAATTTGTCTGGCAAGTATTGCATCATCTGATCGGCTTTTGTTATCAGCCTTTTTAGTGACCACCGATCAAACTAGTTAAAGCCACTATCGGCTGATTACGATCAGTGAACGAACGATCGGAGCACCCTTAGTCCTGAGCAAACGTGCAATATTGGTAAAGTATATACCATTTCTGCAGATATTACACTAAATACCATAGGACAGTGAAAAAGTCTACTAAGGAACACTGCAATAAAGACTATAGCCTATTATTTTCTTTGGGCTGAGCTTTACACCGTATTATACATTATTGTAGGTTTACTTTACACTATGCAGCTGTCTGATAAAGTATTGGATTGAGTGAATCATCAGAAATAACAAAATATTAAAAAATGTAATGTGTGGAGTTTTCTTGTAAGCAAAAAGATTTTATTTATATTCAGCATTTCTCACGAAAATATAGTGTGTATCTGTAAGGTCTAAAAAATGTCTTAAATGCATTTGTACTTGCAAAGTCAATTTAATAAAACATTATATATGCATCGTTTACATCCATGTTTGCCAACTTGCAGCCCTCGTCTTCCTTGCCTGTGTGTTGTGCATTTTTTGGCACATTTCCGCCACCGGCAGACCTTAGCGTTACTAATTGTCAAAACAACTCCACAGGATACCTCTTAAATTACTTCAATCAGCACTGTAGACTGAACACTAATGATGAGACTTACCTGCACCAGATTCAAGCCTTGGATGCAGTTCTTCACTTCCTTTATAAGTTTCACTTTTTCAGCTGCCTTTAATTCTGTTAATTTCACTGTGAAGTGAGTCTTCTCTTTCTTGACCGGTGCTTCGTCCTCTTCCGTGGGCTAGTTTCACAAGGGGAAAAAAAAGAGCAAACTTATTGTGCACTTTTAACTACCACTATAAGCTGCTACTCATAAAGTAGGCCATGACACTTTGGCCCAAAAAAATAAAAATAAATATCAGTAAAACTTGCAGTGATACAATACGTACATCCTGTGTCACCAAAGCATTGATTCAAATTTTAAGTATTTTTTGAAGTTTTAGGTCATGGTGGTGTGTTAGTGTGTGGTGCTCTAGTTATATCATCTACTCTCCGGATGTCATTTAAAAAGCAGTCACCTGAGCCGCTGGTACAGCTGATGCAGCCATCGGCATCATTCCAACATCCTGAATGTTCAGAGTTTTCTGCAACCGACAAAAACGAGATGCTCACTCCACATGGCAACACAACAGTCTCAATCTGACAAGGCGTATTGTGGTTTGGATTAAGTGTTTTGGGACACAAACCTTGAGAAGCTCATTGAGGTCCGACACCTCTAATAAAGTGAGGTTGGCTATGTCCTTGACGAGCTGTTGGATTTTGGGGGAATACTGTTTGGGTGCTCCGTCTAGTGGAGGGGTGGCAATCACATCTGAGTGGGTGGCTGGACTGGTCTTCAGAAGTCTGAGAGCACACAGGGCTGGTGCCTGCCGTGAAAGCTGTTGGCTGGAAAAACGAAAATGGATTACTTAAATGACTGACTGTGTTTGTACCTTAATTGTGTTCTTCAAGAGCCCAAGACAGTGTAGCCAGACATATACACATCTGCTGCTTGTGATCACCAGCATGCATTTTAAATGTGTCTTTATTGATCAAGAATGATGATGAATACTTTTAGGAGGTTGAAGAGGTCAAAACATGCAGTAATTTACAAGAAAAAAGTTTAATCAAAACGATACATAGGCCCAATGATTATTTGATGGACAACTATTTTAATAACTGATTCATTACGTTCCCTGGTTCCAGCTTCTCACTTGTGATAATGTGTTGTTTTCCTGTGTCTTATGTGATAGCAAACTTGATGTGCTACGGTTTGGACAGGTAGTCGGTCAAAACAAGCGGTTCGAAGACATCACTTATTGAGAAATCAAGAAAATAATCAGCAGATGGTCCATGATGATGAACAAAATGAATGAATTGGCAGTTTCAAAGCAAATATCTTGAAATAAGTCTGCCAAAACAAACTTAAATTGTGCGTTATTTGTTCTCCTATCCTGCTAACGTTAACCACCTTGTGACCCCTCAGTATATCTCCTATGACTGTGGGCGGTGGTTACTCTTACACCTGGATGGGAGCCACTGCTCTGGGATGAACACTAAGCTGTACAGACCGCAGCTACTGTCCGGATGGCTCCAGTTGGTTTCTTAACAAATAACCTGTAGTTCAAATGAATGGTCTCAGCTTTTGCTCAGAGAACATCGGTTCACGAACAAATAGAGAGATGCAACTTACTACTTGACCAGCAAAAACAGAGTTTTCATTTCCACGAGTGTGACCTTGGCTGTCAGAAACATAGCTGTTAAATGGAGGAAAATGCAACAGCTGCTGCATTTTTTACACCACTGTTAAAGACGAGGACAACGTGTTTTATACCAATAAACGCAGTGGACACTGGGCCGTTGTGTTTAAGTTAAAGCCTGTAACGTTACAGGGTTCAGTTACATGCTGCAGGCTAAAGTTACCAAGCTAACGTTAGCTAACATGCTTAACAAAGTCGTAAAGCATCATGCTCCTTTCTGACTGCGGACGAAACACATATTCTGTATTTACACGAGATACAGACACAACAGCATGTATCACAACCCCAAAACCCGGCAGCAGTCACCGGCTGTCTGCCCTTGAAGAATCACGACAGTGAGACCCTGATGTCCCGTTACCGCAGCCCTGGTGTTAACGTTACGTGACTGGCTGTTACGTACCGGTGTGTGGTCGCTGCGGCCCGCAGCGCGGTCCGGAGGCAGCGTCTGGTGCAGTACATGCTAACTCTGTTAAATGGAGCCGTTTATCCCGGTGTCCCTCTAAAAACACGCCAAGTCTGTCACAGCCAGGTCTCCTTCCAGCCCCTCTGCCTCAAAAGCACATGGCGCCCTCTCGGCTTCTGACCTACCCACAATTCATTGCGTGAACTGTTAGAAAACGTATGGGAGACCATGAGGGACATGGGAAATAAAAAAAATGGGAATTGTGCTATACCGATCAAATTATTAGTTCTTAAAGCATTCATTCAAAGGGTATTCATAGTTAATACTAATGTTAACAGTATACATTAATAACATACAAATAACATGAAATGATATGATGATGGGGTTAAATGATATATCTTAAGAAAGAGGAGATTTTTCTCAACCCATAAAGGAACACTCAGAAAAGTCACTATACAGGAAGGGTATGAAAAATTGTAAACTGCAAAGTAACTAGTAACTATATCTGTCAGACAAATGTAGCAGAATAAAAAGTACATTATTTACCTCTGAGAGTGTAGTGGAGTAGAAGTATAAAGTTGCAAAACTCAAGTTAACTACGAGTACCTTTAATTTGTCCTTAAGTGCGGTACTTCAGTAAATGCACTTATATTCCACCACTGGAAATATTACACTGATAAACTGTGTTAGCCCCAAGTTAACGTTGTGTTGCAGGTCCTCACTATGACCACAAGAGGGCAGTAAACACTCATGATACCACAGGTCATCATGATGCTGTCATTGTTGTTGACTGTATTATTACGTTTTTTATGACAATAGCTGCTACTTAATGTTCAGACACACATTTATAGAGATGAACTGTCTTTCTCCCCCAGTTTCCTCTGCTTGTGTGTGTGTAATCTACCTGTACTGTACCAGTGCTGACCACAGGGGAGGAGCACAGAGGAAATCCTCTTAACCAGGTAATCTCTGCACCCATCTGCTGTTACAGACACCTACCACATCCAGCCTCAACCAGTATGCTATTTCTTTGCTAGTCTCAGTTAACCAGCACAAGAGAAGGTAAGAGGGTTAGAGAAAATCAACACCTAGGCTGGCAATATAAGATGACAGGGTAACGTCCTTCTGCTTTTTCTCCTCCAGGCCATGCTACTGTCTCCTCAGGCAGAAAGGAACTGGGAGGATCTGTGTGCAGTGCTTGAAGATGTGCTGGAGGACCAGTCCCACAGGCAGCTGTTCGCCTTAGAGCTGGGCTCTGGGACTGGGCAGCATGTCATACGCTTTGCCCAGAAGCTGCCCTATGTTTCCTGGCAGCCATCAGACATCAAAGAAGAGTCTCTGGACAGGTTTGTGTCTTAAAGAAAAAGACTTCCAATAGTTATGCTGACTTACATGCATCAGTTGCATATAACATGCAACAATCTGTTAATGGTCCAAATGAATGGCTGTACATCAGTCATACGGTCAAGTGTGTGACATGACAACAGGTTGTACATTTTCCAGTAATGTGAAATAGAATCTGTTAAAACATAAAATGTAGGATTAAGTCTGCATACTTACTTACAGTATTAAGGCATACATTGCTGCAACCCATGTAAAGACTGTGCTGCAGCCTGTCCACCTGGATGCCAGCGAACCGTGGGAGAAATGGGCAGGCCTTCCTCGCAACTCCTGTGATGTTATTGTTGCCATTAACTTACTGCAATACAGCTCCTTCAATACAGCTAAGGTAGGCCTGGTTATATTTGAAGGGTCATAGGACATATTTCTAATTGATCAAAATGTAACAGTACCAATTTCATGTGCATTTTAAAAATAATTTCCCAAGGGTGTTTTCAATGGAGCTGGTCAGATCCTCAGGCAAAATGGCGTTTTAATAACATATGGGGTATGTACCAACAGACCTTGAATTTATTATCCACTCAAAATAGCATGTCAAGTGAGAGTGAAGTGCAAAAGCATGGCAGAAGAGGCTTTACAAACTGACACCTTTCCAATTCTTAAACATCTTCCAGGTGTATGCTATTAATGGCACTATAACACCAAGTTGTAATGAACACCTGGATGCAGAGCTCCGAAAAATGTGAGTGGGAGTTTATTTTCTCATAATACTCCAACATGACAACAATATGTGTCTGGTGAAGCTCTGCTGGTAGGATGTAAACAGATTTTTTTATTGCTTTTAAACAGTAACCCAGAGTGGGGTCTACCAGACATCGATGTGCTGAGACAGCTGGCCTATGGGAACGGGATGCGTATGGAGAGGATGGTGAGCCAAAACCTGTAGCACATAATATACTGTAACTAATAACTACAATATAGCTTTTATACCTCTATTGTTTTTTATCTCCAGGTTGAGATGGAAGAATACTACAAATGCCTCATCTTCAGAAAACTTTAAAGAAGCTGCACAAAGAAAACGAACTCTTCTTTGTATACTTATGCACAATACTAAGTTATATGTCAAAGAATATTTCATCATATCACTCATCAATGTAATGTTATGGCCTTGACACTAATAAAAGAAAATGAAAACCCCTCTTGTTGAAACATGTACGAATGTGACAAGGAAAACTGTATTTCCATGGACAAAAAATGGTTCTGTAAATGTCTCTGTTCAAATCCTATGGAAATAGGATTTGAACAGAGACATTTACAGTCAGGTCATAGGGAGGGGGAAAAAACAAGCAGGTGGACAATAAGAACCAGATATTTATTAAATATAATTTTAAAATTACTTTAAAGTCCGACAGATCAGTATGATGGAAGAAAGAAGTTCACAGATGGCAACTGAAGGATTACAGAAATCACTGATTGGATGTGTGATATAAACATGCAACATATCCTGATCACTCTGCAAGCAATTCCACATTTCTGAAGAGCAAAGTACACTTTAGAAAAGATGGCCCACTTGTGACAGTTGCAACCAAATGCACACAGGGTGGGGTGCATGGAGGCCATTTGCAGTTAATTATAGTTTATGGTTCTCTATACTTCTGTCAGTCTTGTGATGGTACTATGTTCAGCAACACAATCCATGAGCTGGGGGATGCTATAAGAGTTGCTGGACTGCTTTTAGTATGTATTATTTATGGTCACTAGTTGTTTAATTTCAATGATTTAATCTATAAAAGTATATTAAGTGAGGATTAAACAACCACCCAGTTTATGTTCCCACACTGCTCCCACAATTTACAATTAAGAATATATCCCAAACGGTGCACAACAAAGAAATTCCCAAACAACATAAGAGGCGTTTATGTGTGCATGAGAAAGGATGGACCTGGAATGGCAAACTGTGAATCTGATGGAGATGTGAGTTAGTGCTATTTATTTCAGTCCATTGACTGTGCTTTCTCTCTAGACGTCACTCTTTACCCCCACAATCTCTTAAACAGCACATACAGATGTCTTTCAGTTATTACCCAAACTGTCAAGCTGATGATACACAGAGCAACTTTTAGAGCAATCGTGCAGGGCAACGTTGCCACAATGGTAATGAGTAAAGATTACTACCGTAATCCCCTTCCCCCACCACGCACCGCCGCTATCCGTTCAAAACATAGTCTGACTTGCCACTAGCAACATTGCTCAAAAAGTTGCCCCGTGTATAATCAGCTTTAGGATAGGTTGCAATAATTCACTTCCATTACAGAAAATAATAAAAACTTACCATGCAAATTTTGCCTTAGAAAAATATGAGGCCAAGGATGGTTATGTCTTTTTTTCTCCTCAATTATTATCATATTTTTCTTATTCATTTTTAACTTTAATACAACTGACTATTTCTGAGCTTCAGTTATTCTTTTAATAAGGAAATACTACATACATATCAGCTGGAAAGAGGGAGGAAGAGGGTGAAAGGGTCTGTGTTACGGTGCCTCTCTTGCGGCTTCACCCCACATTCCCATACTTCAGTGGGGGAGAGTTGAGGAGAGCAACAGTTCTGCAACATCATCACAATATTTTACATTGCCACAACATCACAGCAAGGTGGAAGGTGGGAGGTATGCGTTTCCAGAGGCCATCCTCAGAGTCCAGAGAGCGAGGGGAAAGATCAAAAGTAGGAGAGAAGGTGTAGTGTGTCAGACCCTGCAGCATGTAGGCTTTCAGTCGAAGGAGATCAGCTGTGCTTCTGCGCTGCCGGGGACAGCCTGAAGGGCCTGCTGCTGCTGCTGCTGCTGCTGCTGCTGCTGCTGTTGCTGCTGCTGCTGCTGTTGTTGTTGTGGAGCCACCTAGCAAGAAAAGAACACAGTATAAGTAAAAAAACAGGAAGATTAGGGAGGATTGCAATTATTTTGAAAGATATTACAATTTGCATAATTATTCACGATTAGTGGGAATAATCATTTTTGTACAATTTCCAGTTTCACTGAAAAAACTATTACAATCATGATGCTGAGACATTAGTTGGGGTGAGTCCCAAATAAACATGTTTTCTTACATCTGGAGAACAAGACTTGAAGGGAGGGGCATTTCTGCAGCAATGCAGTTCATTATAGTGCTGTTGTGTCACACATTTAACCTTCATTCGATTGATTATGCAGCTCTATGTGAAATGTAGAAATGAAGATGCCAATAAATGATTAAAGAAGAGGTTCTTGACAGTTTAGCTAATTTACCACAGTGTGTTGCAAACTCTTTACTGGGTTTTCTTACTGCTAACACCTTCTAGCAAAGGATGATATAATAAGTGGCTGACCTGTTGGTACATGGGCTGCTGGCCTGGCATGTACTGCTGTTGTGGGGGCATGTTGGGGTCCTGTCCTGGCAATGCTGAAATCATATTCTGCATGTTGTATGTCTGGTAGCCGATGTAGCCCATACCATTAGTGGGGGCAGCCTGGGACATGGGTGGCATACTTTGGGCCTGAGAGACCACATTCTGCACAGAATAGGGACAACAGTTAGCTGGATGATTAATTATCCTTAACCATTTTGGTTGTAGTTTATTTAGTGATCAGACAATTAAAGTGGGAGTCAACAAGACCTGGTAACCCTGTGTGGGTGTGGGCTGATAGTTGGAGTAGGGTGGACTAGTATTGGATGGAGCTTGAACAGGAGGAGGAGCAGGCTGCCCATTGGCGCCTGCAGCTTGGTACATGTACGGATTAACCATATTGGGATCTGCAGGAAAATATGATCAGTCACACAAAAAGTACCATGTCAAATTATAATATGTAAGGCAGTAGGGCAATTAAACATGGAAGTTTATCTTCCTCCTTGTTGATCTCACCTGTGGGAGGACCGGGCATGGCCTGGTATTGTGGTGGTGCCGTCTGCCCAGGCTGGTTCATATAGATGTTGTGCATAGGTGAACCCTCCACAGAACCAGCAGGGCTGAAGGTGCCTGGGTAGCTGGGTGGAGCACCAGGCTGGTACACCACCCCTCCTGCCACATTGGGGGGCAAAGACTGCATCTGTGTAACAGCGCACACACAGACATTATCAAGCATTTATTCCCAAACACTTATGAAGAGGTATATCCCCTTTTTATTTGACCAATAAAATTAAATTTATTGGTGATTCTCAATCTTGCACCATGAAGGCCCATGTGTCATGCCAACCATTCACACTAGGGCTGGGCCGATAGACGATGCCATCTTCCATCGGCGATGGCTGACAGACATCACGACTTTGAGCTGGAATCGTGATTGTTAAACCCCAGCACAAAAGAAATCTCAAATTTTCACATTATACCACCCTGTGAAAGCAGGTTTTAATGACCATGAACATTCTTATTATTGTTTTTAAGTATGCTTTGCACCTGCCTCGGAATTCTCTTCTCCCCACACTCTGACACACTCACACACCTCAGGTAAACACACCGGCCTGCCCGACCTCTCTCTGTCTCTCTGCCCCCCGTCTGCTCCATTTCAGCAGTATGTTTTATAAAGTCGCCTAATAGACTGAGAACTCGTCTTTTTTCCGTATATTTCCACCCTCAATCCATTATCACGGCAGCAGGTGAGCCGCACGTCGGCTTATTAAGGACGCAGCAAACAACTGAAACCAACATCTGCACTCTGTGTGTTCAATGCTGCTTTACCTGGTCCTAAAAAATCCACCGCAACTTGTAACATAGGTTAATAGTATACTAATTTTTGAAGTGAAGTCTGTGGGAGAACACATGCTCACAAAATGACAACTTCCCGATGACATCGTCCATCCTGATGTTTCATTGCAGACATCGCCCAACTCTAATTCACACTGGGCAATTTTACCAATGTGCTACCCTCTGAATCAATCTGTGTATCCCAATTATGGCAGTGATTGGAATTAGTTTAGCCTGACAGCTGACGACACAGTATGCAGTGTACCTGGGCGTAGGGCAGAGAGAAAGCAGGCATTTGAGCTCTCATCTGCACTGTGTGCTTCTGCTGCTCCAGACGCATCTGCCTCTCCTTCTCCTGCTCCTGGAGGCGCTGGATGGCCAGCTGTCTTTGCATCTCCAGATACTCCTGCAGTTCAAAAAACACTTGTGAGCATGGTAATAAATCGTGTTTCAGTATCTACATTTTGAGAGGAGAGACTCATTTCATCACCTGTTTCTTCTGCCTCATGATCTCAAGTTTCTGTGCCAGCTGGATCTGCCTCTGTCTCTCCGCTTCTTCTGCGGCACGACGCAGCTTCTCTCTGTGTTCGTCCCGAAGGGCGTTGAGGGCTGCCCGAGCATCACGCACCTGAGCCAACTTGTCCTGCAGCCCCTCGTAGTACACTGCCCATAATATACAGTGTGATAGTTAAAGAAACTGGATCAGCGGAATGACAGGAAAGCACAGGCACACACAAACTCATGCACGAATAACACTCACAGCGCTTCTCATCTAGCTGGTTGAGGATGTCCAACAGCTGAGGATGCATGTTGTTGATGGATTGGAAGAGTGAGAGCACAGCGCTGTCATTGGTGATGCTTCGCCCACGCATGTGGTTGCTTTTCATGCGGTTGAGGAAGGTGGAGACAGCATTCTGCAGGGCCTTCAGAAACTGCTCATGGTTCTCCTCTGACTCCCCGTTCTGGTACTGCTGCTGAAGGTGGGGACGAGAGGGAAGCAAAGCGCAGAGAGTCATTTGTGGTCTGCCCACTCCAGTTCAGCTAGACATAAAACCTACCAACATCGGCGCTCCACACAAAGTTCAAACATACCTCCACTATGCTGACTGGCTGGACAGGAGGGACATGACTTTCGACAGGCTGACTGATCGCCGGAAGGGGCTCAGCTAATGGCACAGGGGCAGGGGCTGAGGGGGTGGGACTCTTGCGAGCCTCTTCTTGTTTCTTCTCCCAGTATGTTCTGTTCAGGTAACGGGCCAGCTGGAATAATTTGACATATTACCATAAGTGTTATAAGCATGACGGAAGATTTCCATTAGTCTACCTTAATGCAGGTATTTAAGAAGAGAAGAATATCACAAGTACCTCGGGATCGACATCTTCAGCTGATGGAGCGGAGGAGTTCTGGGGAGAGTATATAGTTCATAGGTCAGTAAGAAAACATATTTCAACATTTTGCCCAACAATAGCAGAAATTTAAACTCTGTTTTTATCATGGAAAAAATGTTTGGTAGTGCAAATAATTTGGTTTGCCAGCGAGAAAGGCAGCATGAGAAGAAGTCTTACCACGGGGGAGGTGTAGAGGGTGCTGACTGGTGGTGCAGAGGAAGTCACCGGAGTGGGATCAGCTTTGGGATACATTGAGTAGGAGTTTTTCTGCCTCTGTAAGTAAACACATGGGTATGTGTCAGTTTCTCTCTGCAAATATGCAGTAGAAATACCCGAAATTTCAGCAGTGCAACCCACCATTCGCTCTTTTTCCTCAGCCTCACTTTGAGAAAGGGCAATGGCCAGCTGTAGCTCCTCCTCCTCCTGCAGTGCCGCCTCATCTCTCTTGGGGGGCATCTGGTGAGAGAGCGGAGCAATGGTAAGATCCTGGGAGCAGCAATGAGGGGAAAGGAACCAAAGAGAATCAGAGTCCACAAACCCCACCAAATTCCAATACAGAGCAGGGTGAGCCAACATATGTCTGTTTTATCACAGGAGCTAAGTCCTTAAATATCAACTTCCTTCCTCAACAAATTTATTTCAACTGTGACCATCAACTAAGTCAACTCATTTTTCACATATAGTTTTTGAACAATTACCTGTGACTGTTGGGACAGCGGGCTGGTCAGGTACTCAGGAGGCAGCTCGGCAGGGCCTGAGGCTGGGGCTTTTCCTTCAGCTTTCCTAAGTGGAGGAGAGAGGGAGGGGTGGCTGGTGAGGAAAAGGGATCAGGGAGGACAAACAACCTTGTAAATTAGAGGAGAGCATGCTGCTTCAAACACCAATCTCTCTCAAAAACAGAAAAATACAAGAAAGAGCCCAGGGAGCGCATACCTCTGTCAATGCAGCAAAATCCTCTAAATCTCAAAACAGACATAGTCCGTCTCAGTTCTGGAGAATGCCTAAATTCCAGGAATGTTAAGACTCTAAAGGTTTAACTGTGCAATAAAACGTTGGCCATCTAAATTTTGCAACATTGCTCAAAGAAGCTTTTCATTCAAAATCATTTAAACTGCACAATATGGTCTGAAATTATCTGTCACAAGCTGTTCCAAGATGCCTTTATGGGTCATCTAATGTGTTACGTGCCAAAATGGGGGAAATACGGTGGAAAATTAGTTGTAATGAAAATAGATATTCAAATTTGTGATGCGTACATTATAAATGGTTACGGTTGCACCGTATTCCTAAAAAATAAGTCAGTTGTTTTTCCGCCCTAGGTTTAAGTTTACACCAAATAATGATAACTAATTAACAAAGGGCTAAAAACATGACTTGGACGAGGTTGTGAAAAGATTACAGACAATGCACTGCATTCAATCTTTTACCCTAAACCAAGGAGCAATAGAGGCTGACTGCTCAAGAAAAGAAAAAAAAAACATTCATAAACCAATGCATACTTTAGCACAACAACAAAGTATAAAGCATAACTTGACCAACAGAATAACTAAATGCCAGTGTGCAATATCATGCACGCTGCAGCTAATGAAGTGGCTGGAGACAGATATATACATCACACTCAGAGACTGAGAATTCACACTAAATCTGGAAGTTTGATTATCAGTTCGTGGGACTCACTTGTTAAGCAGCTCAAAGCATGGCTCGCACACACGCACTTCCTTCTCTATGCCAAACTTCGGAATGGTGGAGTACTTAGACGAACACTTTCCACAGAAAATCTGGCCACAGGCTCGACAATGGTGCTAGAGAAGCAAAGAACACAAATTGTGGCCAATGTCCGGATATACATTTACTCCACACACACTGCTGTAAATGAATGAAAGAAACCATAAAATGTGCCCTAGAAAGCACAGCCTACCTTTCTTGTCATAACTCCAAACTGGACTCTGCACCGGTGACACTCCTCTGCATCAACCCAGTCTGGGGCCTGGACAAAGCAGACAGACATCACATATTCACTAAAGATGTGGTGATACAACAAAACCACTTCTAAACACTTCAGAGCCATGACCAGCACCAACTTGTGCTGATTCTGCAGATAGCCACCCACTTCAAAACCCTAACATTAAGAAGAAAAGCAAAATATCTCACCCTCTCAGCTGCAAACATTGCGTCACTCTCCTTAAACTCAGGGAACACATGACCTATGAGAAAGCAAAAGAGAAACAGACCTTTTAAAGACACAGTGTGATACTCGTAGCACATTAACAGAAGTAAACAATGATTCATAATAATTGCAGTGCACATACAATGTACCATGTTTTTGAATATTTATAATTTTGAGCTTTCAGGAATGCATAGTGACATTCTCAGGATCCATTTTAAAACATTGTTGGAATGTAATTACTGCATAAATAATACATAAATGTTGATGTGCTTTTCTTAAATTTAATTGTAGCTAAGACATGGTTGGGAAACATGTATCTGGGTAAATATACTTCCTTAAGGCCCTTACAGACACAACTTGAAAAAGGCACCACTTTGCTCTGAAACCCATTGTTACAACCCTAAGTGTGATGTGTTTGGTTTGGGGTGTGTTCCTTCTCTCTGTGATTGGGAAAAATCTAAGTAAAACAAAGCTTCTGCAAAAGCCTTCTTACCTTCCACTTTCATGATCTGATAGGTGTCTTGAACCACCTTATATTTGGGTTCGTTGCGGAAGGCGTGAGCCCACGCCTGGATCAGGTACAAGATCTTGTTTCTGACGTTTGGTTCCGTCTGCTTCTGGTGGTAAACGAACCACACAGAGTCATATAAACCTGTCTTAACAGCTTCAAGTCCCTCTTCATTCAACAGTTTTGTACATCACATAACATTGGTACTACTGAGCTTTTCAAACACAAACTGAATCAAACAATGTTATGTTTGGCAAACGAGAAGTGAGGTGGGAAGTCCCTTGCTTTGGTCTGAAAAAACCCTCCTGTCACAAGGCTATGACATCATCAGGAAGTAGAAACCGGCATGGGCTGGCAGAGCTTGTGTCACCTGACACAGCAAGGACCCAATGACATATTGCTAGCTCATGCTGTAATGCAGCAGGCCCTTATTGAGTCAAGAGAGAAGGTGGGAAATGTGATAGAGCATCCAGCCAAAATACAGTCAGACAAATCACCCTGTCCATGTATAACAGGGTAAAAGCACTGCATCCAAACTTTCCACTGCTTGTTTACGTGTTACTTTGACAGCTGAGGGCAATGAACTAATACATAGATGCACAGATATTATTTAACCTGATCAAAGGTGAACTTTTGGATGAATTAGTCGATTGATAGCAAATTAGACTAAATAATGCTCATCTTAAATGCTTAGTTGATTAATAAAAAAAGAATTGACAGTATAACTGAAAATTAAAATAATCTAACAAATGCTGCACATGCTCCAGTCCCAACCCGCTTCTCAATGAAAAGAAAGTATTGCCTACAACAGTCAAACCTGGTGTAAATTTATGTTTGTGACTTGAAAGAACCAGTAGCAACCTAAAAAATGATGAGTCAGTATATTGGACATTTAACAAAGCAGGATTTTGAATTGCAAGAAACGAACAGAACGAAGGTCACCTTGAGCAAATCCTTCAGTTCCTCCATAGTCTGTTTACTCGCCACCTCATCATGGACTGTCTGGCCACAGTTCTTCACCACTGACTCCAAGACCTAGAGGGTGAGGCCACATAATTATTCACTGTGCCAACTACAATGAACAAAAATATAAACACAACACTTTTCTGTTTGCCCCCATTCATCATGAGCTGAACTCATAGATCTAAAACTTTAAAGTTGAGGAGCTCCGCAAGTGGCGGTGGGGGAAGCCTGCACCAACCCGCAGGAGGAGCTTGCGAGGCCGGCCAGCCGCCCACTCACAGAGACCACTGCAGCAACAACAGCAGAGGAAAACACAGCTGTAAGGTTTTCATAACGCTTATCTGTCTTTACATTCTGAGTAATGTTGAAACGTTTTAACTTTAAGAGAAAGCTGTATGTGGGTCGCTGGTGTGTGTTGCATTGAACAGTACGTCGCGGCTGTGGTGTGTGGGGTCGCTATGACGACCAGCTACATTGTGGGTTACTATCTCTGGGTGCCATATGCATTGGAAAAACGGACGAGGGCCAAACCGAGTCAAGTAGAGTTGAGTTGAGGCGAGTTGAGCTGGTACTGGTAACGTAAAATCAGCATAAAAGGCCTTTCAGAGGAGAGCATGCCTTTTATTGTGGCCAGCCTAAGGTTCACCTGTGCAATGTCCAAGGTGTCTGATCAACATCTTGATATGCCACACCTGTGAGGTGGATGGATTATCTCGGCAAAGGAGAAGTGTTCACTAACACAGACTTTGACAGATTTGTGAACAAGATTTGAGAGAAACAGGCCTTTTGTGTACATAGAGAAAGTCTTAGATCTTTGAGTTCAGCTCATGATGAATGGAAGTGAAGTGTTGCGTTCATAATTTTGTTCAGTGTATGTCACCCATTTCACTGAAGCAGCTTTGTCCATAAAAGGAGGTGACAAAACAGCACACTAACACCCAAAAGCTTTCAATTTTATTTTGTTGACTTTTACTTGTTATAATGTATTTTACCAGCTCAGAAATAATTTATCAGCTCATTTTCCACTGTACACAAATCTTACCTCAAGTGCATAGAGAGCCACATGTGGATTTTTGTCATTCAGCTTCTTCTTAATGGCCCCAATAGCATATTTAGCTCTGCAAACAAAACAAATATTGCTCAATAGAAAATCCAGGTAATAAATTATGTCAGCAAAGAACAATTGGTTGATTTTCTTCATTAACAAACATTTCAACCTATTTTCACCTTCAACAGCTAGGGATATTAAGGGAAGAGGGCAGAATCACTCACTGTGCATCTCCTTGTCGAATGAGATCACAGATCTGCAGAATGGATTCCCAGTCAGTCTCCAGCAGCAGCTGACTGGTGGCTTTATCTGCAATGAGCAAAGATAACAGGTTAAAGCTCCAACACTTGTATTGTCTGTGTAATATCTACCACACATTATCCAATACACCAAACAAAAATGTCATAAAAAAAAGAAACAAACAACTGGATGTTAAGTGAGCCCTGGTGCACAGAAGCATCTGCATGTTTCCCTACTCTTACATTCACACATACATGCATACATAGTATTTTGTGTGTATCATGTTTTACTCTTAAAGTAAGGGTTCTCTTAATTTAATGCAATCACACAGTGATGTTTTCTCTTTTCCTATGGAATAAGAAACGAGTCATTCTTCTGACAGAGATAACTGAACGCCATCCAAGTTTTTTATGAAGAAAAAAAACACAAGTTTGATTGGTTAACCTTGTGGTGTGTCATACTGTGATATGCGAAAGGGTTATACTTTTTGTACTATTGCACGTTACTATAAATGATGTTGCTTTGCTTTAAAATATGCCTTACAATTAGAGAGCACAATGTTTGGATTTATTTCATTGTTTAGTTCAACATCATTCTCAAGCTGTTTGGCCATCATATCAGCAAAACGTTTCACAAAATTCACGTCATGTTTGTACCAGCCCCAATTCCCAAAATATTGTCTTATTACTGATTCCATCTTAAGTTCTGTGACATCTGATTCTAGTGGGCAACTGCCTCAGACCCCCAAATCCTTATTTATATTATACTGATTGTTTGGCATTTGCTTTGTGGTAATAATTTAAGAAAATGTATCTTTGGGAAGAATATATGATAGGAGCCTTACAATGGATTTTGCTTTGTACCTCATGTTGAGGCCCTGTGTCAACATCTACTTTTAGGAACTTCATTACATAAGCCGATACTGTACTTGGTGTGTATATTACAAAATGTCTGTGTTTCAAATTACCACACCACAGCGTTAAGTACCATTGGTACTATTCCATCACAAGAATACTACATAAAATGCACAGAGAATGATTTATCACTTTATCATCACAGAGAATGATTTATCTTTACCCTAGAGCCCCCTAGAACAGGTATATTCAACGGTCTGCCGCAGACCAGTTGTATTTACAAATAAATAAATCCTGACAAATTGAAATTTTTGCCACAATAAATCCTTCAGGCTGTGCTGTCGGTAACAACCAATCACAAACATGCATTACTGATGACAAAAGCACTCCTTTGCATGACGTTGCTGCCTGTGAATCCAGCTTCTCTCACATGAAAGCCATAAAACAAATGCTCTTACTTCCTTGACAAACAAGCTTTTGTATCCCTGTTTGTGGATTGCCCTCAGTTCATTTGAACCAGTCTTGTCTGCCACTGTAGTCGTGTAGGCTAAGCCTATCTGTGTTTTCTGAGTTGTGAGAGTTAAAAAGAACTGGAGAATATTGGATGGATGTGGTGCAGGCTAACCGACTGTTTAAAATAAGTGAAATAGTTCATTGAAGATGGATAAGTATACAGAAAAGAAAAAAAGAAGATTATAAATGTTTACAGGAAATGCAGTGATGTAGCCAGGTAAGAGATGTCAGAATTTACCAAATGACATGGCAAATGTAAGTTTAGAAAATGTGGTGGCGCCTTGTCAAGAGTGCATGATGAGAATAATAGCTCTGGGGAAATGTCCGGCCCCTAGCTTTCTGAAAGTCTGACCCCCTGGACAATGTTGATTGAATAGTTCTGCCCTAAAAGGTTAATCTGGCCATGAATGTCAACTGAAACTCAAGTAAGCCGTTTATTAATTTAACTGTCTGCCAGTTATTAATAAACTTCCAAGATTTTGGCTCAATCTGACGTGAGTGTCGATTTTCAGCATGACTCATGAAACCACCTACACAAACTGCATGATAAATGTCGCTAGGGTAAGCTAAGCTAATGACGTTACCTATGGCATCTGTAATTTAGTGTTAGGTGTTGTAATTCTGTGCAACGTTTATCTATGCAGGGAAATTGATTAGCTAGCAGCTAATTATACCAGTCTAGCAGCTAGCTAACGTTAATCAACCTGTTGTGGATTTTTTTTTTTTAAACTGAAGACAACACTTCAAGTATCACACAAATTACAATGTTCAGCGTAGCTGCCTAGCTTTCTTGGACAGTACAGCCATGTCATCAGTTATACAGAAACATTATAAGCTACTGTCCACTGGTGTGAATCACTAGCTTACGTTAATTTATTATCTGCTGAAAAAAAAAAAGAAAAGAAAACGTTTTTGCTTTAGCTAATTAGCACGACGTTAACACAAGGATAAGGTAGCTGTTGATGTTAGCTTTGATTAGACTTCGCGGACAAACAATGCTGTATTTGCTACTTAGTCGAGTGTTGAGCATATCTGGGCCTCCAGACAATAGCAGCAAAATTTGTTAGCAGGCTAAAATTAGCTGGCCTGTGAGCCACAGCCCCAGCGTCTGTCAAAACAATACGTTGGAAAACATCGCACTTTGGCACGTAGTTGGCTAATAAACTATTAACTTAGCGAATGGGCTGATAACTTACCCAGAAGCCTCTCAAATGTACCACCACCTTTTCCCATGTTAGATTAAAAGTCTCAAAGTAGCTGTCGAAGCGTCTTGTTTGGTGAACGGGTGGTGATATTTTCACCGCTGGGGTTAGCCTGTTAGCTTCTCTGTTCGCTCCACGGAGCACAGCTGTACAGCTTTTCCTACTTCCCACTTCCGCCGTAGAAACATCAACAACAGAGGAATTTCCTCCCTCTAGCGACTGTTGATACAAAGATAAGTACATTTTGAGAGTTATCACAAAATTAATGTTTATTACAGTAACGTTATGGTATTGTTGAAGATTTCTTTTATTTAGCATTTAGCCATGATGTTTGAATATTCGATATGCCTAGCTTGATAACAACTAAATACAAGGATAATGTTGAAGATGTTTATTAAAACGTAAATAATGTTTAAGATTTTATTGATCATACACTGAACAGCAGTCTTCTTCCTCATACTTGTTGTTCTCAGGCTGAGCAAAAAGACTTTACATTTTGCAATAACACACACAAGCAGTGTTGCAAATTTGCCATAGGGAAGTTAGGGTGAAGACCATGATTCAAAATTAATTATACATCCAAACGAGAAACAATGGGGCTTTGTTGGATTCTAACATAATGTTGATAGCACCTGGGTTCACACTCAATAAGAGTACAGAAATTTATAAACATAGGGTGCCCTGGTAAGGAGGGCCTGATAAGAGTAAAAGACCAGACTTCTGAACACAAGGGGCCCTTGCTGGAGGACTGCAGCTCTGAAGGTCATCATGTGATACAACACACAGGACACAAACTTGGAGTGTTAATGTTAACCAACTGTGGGATTGCATATACAATGTTTTGCTGATATCAGGATGATGTCCTATTTCTTGTGTTACAATCCAGTCTTATTTCCTTAGAAGTGTTGTTGAATACAGTACGCTATTGTTCTAATATTGAATATGTGTGGAGGTGGAGGTGGGTCTGACCCTAAGACCCACAAGAGGAGGAGCGAGACAGGATATATCAATCAATGTAATATGGAGTTTGATGAGTCAGCTCTCTGGACCAGCTCGGATACATATGTATTTGTTTTATTTGCTTGAAATTATCACTAAACTTGTGTTAATTTGAACTTTACTGGAATCTGTGTCTCATTGAAAATAATAATATTTACATTGAAAGGACAATAGTTTACATTAGTTGAGTTACCAGTTATGTTGAAGAACAGTGAGGGCCCACTAGACCTCTGGCACGGTCTGAGAGTTTTCTTCCCACAGTATCAACAGAGGTGGAAGTACTATTTGCATTACATTTACAGTAGCTGTGAGGTATGCTACTACCACTTTATTTCAGTATTCATATTTTCACACTACATTATATAGGAATTATTGTTTATTCCATCACATTTATATGGCAGTTATATGTATAGTTACATTGTAGATTAAGATTTTAAAAATCTATGACTATATAGAATATGATTTAGGCCTATTGTTAGGCTAGGCCTACAGTAAATAAAAAGACCTAACAGTATATAAAGTAATAAAATGAGCTCAACCATAATCAGCTAAGTTACTTGTGTTTACCTTTTCACCTTGCTGCAGTGATGTATATTTGCACTCTAGGACCCTGTTACATTAGTGCTGGGTGTGGTTACATGTATAACAAAACAAACACCCAACTAGCGAAAGAGACAAAATGCTGAACAGCATTACTTATTTAGCCAGTGAGTGCAGAGTAATAAAATCATAAAGGCAGAGTGAGTGGGATAATCTTACTCATTCTGCCTTTAAGGTGTCACATATGTTATTACTCTGACACCAAATCCTCATTTTCTCTGCATCTACAGCCACTCAGTTTTACCTGTAAACATTATCGTTTATACAGAGGCCCCTTGGTCTATAACAAGTTATTGAATCCTTACCAGCTCCACGAGTAGTTGTGTGTAGTTGGCCTTGTGGATGATTTACCTCACAATGATATTATTAACAATTCATTAGTACACTTATAATATGTATGAATAATTGTGTTGGTACCCTACCTTTTTCGCTATCTTAAGACACTGCACTGGTTATTTACAGTGCAAGTTGTGCACTTGTCTTACTCTGTTTTCCCCATTACAATTGTACAGTAAAACGGCGCAGACTGAATACTTACTGTATTCCCAGCATTACTCTACCGACATTGGTATAGGCCTACTTAGGTCATGTATGAGTCACTACCTGGCACTTGGGACACTGGTGGCCATTGTTATTGTTGTGCTGTAATGCTCTAAAGTGGCATTGTGTTGCTCTGTCCTCTGCTGTTACAGACAGAAAGAAAAACCAAACTGACGGAGTTGTGCATCCCTTTGCAACTGTGATCAAATTTACTGTTTACGGCAGAAAAAAAGCAAATACCGGGGTGTGTTTTCTATGCAGTTAATCTATTATAGGAAATAAATATTTACATTCAGAAACAGTATCATGCCTGCATGTACAGTAACCAAACTCCAAGTCAGCTTTCAATGGTTATAATTCATTGAAATAATTGTTTTTGAAACTGAGTCTGAGGGATCTGAACAATGTCTCATGAATAAAGATTATGCTTTTCCCACTGTGGCTTGTAACCTCCCACATTACATGCTTACACACAGAGACACTGACAGATAGGCCCGCACACATGCATTACAAACTAAATCTGTTTTAATGTCTTAATCTGTTTTTTCCTTGAATCCCACGATTTTTGTGTTGTGAAAGAAATATATTTTTCTTTTTCCCTGGTTCTGAGTAGCCAAGACATGGAAGAGGAGATGGAAGATAGGAGGCGGAGGACGACATGCACACACAAACAAACATACACACACACACACACACACACACTTCTTAACAATATGGCACCACAAGCAAATGTACACACATCCCCATTGTTCTATTGTTCTTCTCCACTCAGCAGCTCACTCTCCTCGTATTGTTTACATGAATGAGCAAAGCAAAGATTTTCTTTAAAAAACTTCTGTCAAACATATAAGCTTTCATATCTGCCATCATAAAAATGGGAACACACACTATTTCCCTCAGTAGAGGATTTGGAGGATCAACAATTTTATTGTATTTTACACTTACAGACAGAGAAAAACGGTTACTGAAGGATATCAGGTATGAAATAATCAAATGAGTTCCATTTTTCCTAAACAGCCTCCTGCAGCTTTTCAGAGAAAAAAGCAAACTGGAATAACATTAAATATAAAATAATTACAAGAAGCAAAATCAAAAGGAGAGGAATCAGGTTTGTCATCGTTTGGGCTGTATTTCTGGGAATTGAAGGCATTCAGGTATTTTGGAAAATTAAACATAACCTTTGACTTGTGTGGCAGGTGCCCTGCGAGGACTACTTTCTCCACTGCTAAAGGTGGGAGAGCCTGGGATGCCAGGGGGACTCGACCCAGCGTAGAGCAGAGATCCCCCAATGAGGAGCAAGGCGGATGCCCCCCAGCCGATGTAAAGGGCAGGGCCAAGCTCACGCTTGTGTGGGGCCGCCACATGTGGATCATAGAAATCCCTGATGATGGAGTGGGCAGTCCAGCAGATGGGCACAAGATATAGGAACCCTGCGATGGCAAAAAGGGCGCCAGAGATGCGAGCAATACGGGCCTTGAGGCTGTTTACACCAATGCACTTTGTGCACTTGACTCCTAGGACCCCCAGAGAGAGAGCCAGGCCACAGATCAGGATGGAGAACACGGTGAGGCCTCGGGCAGCCTGCATGTCACTGGGCAGAGCCAGCAAGCTGTCATACACCTTGCACTGGATCTGACCTGTGCTCTGCACAATGCAATTCATCCAAAGGCCTTCCCAAATGATCTGAGCCGTCACTATGTTGTTACCGATGAAGGCAGTGACTCGCCACAGGGGGATGGCACAGACTATCGCCCCACTCACCCAGCCCACAATGGACATGATTAAGCCCAGCAACTGCATGCCCGTGGTTGCCATTGTGAAAGGTATTGTTTGAATCAGATGGATTTGTCTTGGTTTTGTTTCAGTCTTTGTTTGTTGCAGATGGCCCACTTATAGTCCCACAAAGAAATGTGACAGTCTACAGTACTGGAAATATTGTGCTCCACTGCTGGATCCTCAGTCTTCAGGTGATGTTGTTAAGTTCAGCTTGGGTTAGACAAGGACAGATATCCTGAAATGACAAAAAAGCAGAACCAATTTAAATATGTTTTATTCATATAACAGTGCTGCAAAGCTCACAAATACAAAAATATTTATAACTTCTTACTATTTACAACAATGAGCAACACATAAGTAAAGTACAAAAAGACTAATGGAGCATATATTTATCATAAATATTTGGAAACAGGCTGGGAGGCCCATGTTTAGTGGATTCCAGGAAGAACCACAGAGAATAGCTGTCTTTGACATAGCTGTGGGTGTCAAGCTACGCCTTGCCGGGTGAGTGGATTATCTCAGAAAAACATGAGGAGACTCTGAACACAAGCATCTTTCATGAAGGCTTGTAGAGTGGGCTTAGAGGACCTATGTCATCTATGTATCACAGCTCTCAGTGTACACATTTTTACCAATTCTGTGAATCTAAACGCACCCTACACAATCAATCCAGGGTTTGCTGCATGACATGGATAAGCCGTACCCATAGGACTTCTTTTGCATAAACGTGTATCCAATAGAGCCGATTATAATCAGATTTGATATTAATAAAGTGACAAAGACAAAGTTTTGTAAATGAGCAGATAACAATGAATCATATGAATCCTCGAATAATAATTCTGACAGGCATACATGCTCCCACAAAATATTGTGCATGAAGGGACCGCCGAAGGTCCTGAGACCACACTGTACAAATCTGTGCCTTATCTTTGTTACAACCATGGTTCTGCCTACTTTACAGGAAATTTTTTCAAACGTTGCATTCTTTATATCCCATCAAACTCATCACACGTCACACAAATGTATCCATTTTTCAGCTTTTGATAATGCAGATAGGATATTTTCAAGGATATTTACCTAAAATGAAGTACTCTCACTGCTCCCCTTGGTCCACAGATAAGTGTTACTGCTCCTTAGCTTGTGTAGATCAGCTGGGTTGCCTGGATTTGGGTGAATGACGGCCCTGAGAATTCAGTTCAGTCCACAGGAAGGCTGGAGAGCAGGGGTGGCTCTGTCTCAGAGGTCAGTTGAACTGAAGCAAAGAGGGTCGATCGGCATTGACACCCAGGACTGAGCTGGAGATGGGGCTGCCCTCGGAGATGCCAGCGCAAGTCTGTGTGGCAGTGGGCAGAAGCATGCGCTTGTGTGCACGACCATGTGTGAATGAGTGAATGTGAACGTGTTTGAGTGTGTCTCCCAGTGCCTGGTGTACGAGCACAATGCCCTGCTGTTTTGCTGTGCCCTCCCTCCCTGCTCCTCGTCAACCTCTGTCCCAACCCTGCAGCCCCTCGCATCCACCCAACTCCACAACCCATTTTCTTCTCTTTTTCGACTTTGACTCACTTGTTCATTTATGAGAGCCTTCTCTTTTCTTCTACCCTCCTTTTCAATCTGTTTATGGGTTTCACTGAAGTTTCTTTTTGAGTTTAGGGAGTCAGTTCTTACACAACCCTCTTCACTGTTCTGACAGGGAAAATGTGGTTCATTGTAGTTTTTCATATGGATTTTTAACTAAATTAATATATATGACAAACTGGATTGATACTGAAACTACTGTATTTCTACTGGAGATTTATAAGTTGTATATTAATTATGACGTTTAGATGCTGCAGAAACTAGAACAGATGATCAGGGGAGTAGCGTTTTTGCCACCATACAGACGACCAGGACTGAAGAATGGATGAAGCCTATCAGTAAATGTATCTGTGAAGGTGTGAATGTGGACTCCAGATTCTGTGCAGTAGAAGGATACGCGGCCTTCTGTGTAGTCCAGAAACACGCCCACTTTCCTGGGTCTCTGCTCTAGAGCCACCGGGGTGACAGGAGAGGTGTTGGCAACATACTGGCCTCCAGCCCTCAGGCTTAATGTCCAGAAACCATTTGCAGGGCAGACAGTGAACTTGCCCTTCCTGTTTATGGACTGTCTGACAACGCCAAGGTTCCATTCAATCTTCTCCCCGACCTCCACCTCCCAGTAGCACCTCCCACTGATGAAGCTTTCTTTGGCCAGCACGTTTGCCACGCGGTCAAACCGCTTGGGGTGATCTGGTACCTCCTGAAGCTTGTCCGTGTGTCTCACCTGTTTTCTGTCATCTGAGACGAAGAGGAAGGGGTGGGCTGTCTTAGCACTCAGATTGACATCCTCTAAGAAAGAGGAAGGAGAGAAGGTAAAGAATGGCTCAAACAACACGGACATCTTCAGCACTAAGAGAAAATTACTGAGGTGGTGGTGGGGGTATTTTAAAGTTTGTTTTACTCACAAGGCTCTGGGAACTCATTCTACCATTAATAAATAATTTCTAAATATTTAACTATATCAACTTTAATATATTTATGAATAATAATGTTCACAATAAGTGAATAAGTTTTTAACATAACAAAAGGCTGAAGGTGAATTATATATAGGCCTACTTTGAGATGAGAGAATGAGATGAATGCTGAAACATAAATTTGGAGTTTTGTTAAAAAACAAAATGTGTCTTCCAGACTCTTGTCACCGTCCTGGCCCTTTAAGGACGGTGGTGGTGTGGGAAACAGGAAAAAAAACAAGTGTGTGATCTGCTAACGTGGCTGGGAAAAGTAAGTTAAAAACTGTTCAGCTAGTGGGTGAGACGGACAAAACAAGCTCTGGTGAAGTGCCGACGAGCCGTGTAATGTGTGAATTACTGCTGTAAAGGAGAAATAAAGTTCCTGCTGACGAACGCTGCAACGACGTCTTCTTCATGTTAATGACTGGCAGAGTGGCCCGGACTGCTAAAGCTAGTTACCAGCTGCGAGCCAGACTAAGTTAATCATTGAACGCCAGTCTGTTCTCAACTACGGTTCTGAGCAGAAAGCTGGGAAGGTAACACTCTTGTCTGACAACCATCCACTTAGCAAAACGAAAAAAATACATAACACTCCCCCTTTTCTGACCTCCCCTTCCTCCCCCTCTAATAATTTGTGTACAATCCCTGATATTTCTCTCTGTGTAGACAAAGCCTTACCTGTGTATTTCTCTATTCGCTTAAGTTCTGTCAAAGAAAAGGAAAAAGAAACGTCACTGTCATTGGACGTATCGCAAAATGTTGAATTAATATGACAGATGAAAGTGGCATTACTCACCAGATTTGGAGAGCCTGTTGACTTCTACTTTTATCTTTTCCATCATGTCTGACAGTGCCCGTCTGGTGACCCCAAGACAAGGGTCAGTTTCTATGGTAATCTTGGACCACTCCTTCATCTCAGAGGGGCACTTAGTGGAAACACTGTTCTGCACGACATAAACAAAGACATTTCACTTTAGCAGCGGGCGGTGCTTCACTGTTAACATTACATTATCTGCAGGAGGTAAAAGGTGCTTGCCATGGTAGTGTGTTTCGTATCTTCACTGTTTACGGGAATCTTAGGGTCAAATTCAGCGGTCTCCTTCCTCAGCTCCAGAATCTCTTGTTTCAGCTCTCCCAGCATTTTTTCTACTTTCTTCTCTTCCTCTCTCTGTCTCTCCTCAATTGCTGCAACGACCGCTTTGTGACTCTTCTCCATATCATTTACGAGGGCAGAGAAGACCTTCTGACTCTCTCGCACCTCTCTGAGGTAAGAGTTCTGATTGGACATCATCATGCATCATCAATCAACGATATACATTTAAAAATAGATATATTTTAATGAAGTGGAGGTTTTCAACACACCTTTTGGAGCTCCAGGGAATGTTTCAACCTTTCAATCTTCTGCAGCCTCTCCTCAATCATTTGCTCAACATCTATAACCTGCATATGTGCAACAGTGACATGAGCATGACCAAAATATATTAGATTTATTCGTTATGTAAATTATATCACCTGTGATTAGATAACTGACAAATGCAATAAAGTACCATTTCTTCATCAGGCGGTTTCTGTGGTCGAGTCTTCCTGTAGTTGTCTGAGACGTCTGCAAGAATGCGGTTGACACTGAGGTCGGGCTTGTCAGCAAACAGTCTCTTACAGTGGGGACAGTATTTGGACTGGTGTCGTGTCCAGAAGTGGCAGAGACAGGACAAGCAGAAGCTGTGTCCACATGGTATGGTCACTGGGTTGGTGAAGATGTCTCTACACAATGAGCACAAGAAGTGCTTCTCAGAGAGGAGACAAATTGTAGAGGCCATACTCTGAAAATGACAATGTCAACAATGTGTGAAAAAGCTTTTTATTCCGAGACCTCTGTGGCTGCCATGAAAAATCATTACAGCCCCATTCAGTTATGTCCACTTACTTCTTTTTTACTCAAAGAGCTCTGACAAATTTTGGATTTTGAACTCGACTGGATGAGTGTTCGAAAGTTAAACTTGCATTTATTCATTGTGTTGACTACTTGAGACTTTTGTCAGATATGTATGTGTTGATTGAACTTGGGTATGTAATTTATCAGATGAAAAAAGGGCGGGTGTGCAGAGATGGGAGCAAGAGAGAAAAATAGCCTAGTTGCTGCGTCTTTTGAGTTTGAGTGAAACTGTCTTCTGTAAACCATGGCGAAGATGAAACATGGACATAATCAACAAATTATTAGGGTTGAGCGAGTACTCAGGTGAACTAACTATCTGGTACAGTAAGTAAGACAAAGAGTATCATCAGAGTAAAATGTGTTAATATCTGTTTTCCAAACTATAAATATATGAACTTTTTTTAAATTGTTCTCTTACTTTTGTAATCAAAAACATTGCTCTGAAGCTCAACTCTGAGGCTGTTCTGTTTTCTAATAAATGCAGCAACTTCTGATCAACCATACTGATTTCAATCTTAAATAACTAACTTCCAGTTAGTGCTGCCCATCTCCAGGTCAAGCCGAGTACAGATACAGATACAGATAATTTGATTTGTTGAACAGATACAGATACAGACAGTGGTGCTCAACCCTACTAATTACACACTGCAGATAAGTCATATATTCAAATTCCAGCCAAAATCTAGTAGACACTTTTGTTGTAAACAAGAAAGTACCTGTACTTGACTAAGGCCTTAGACAAGGATTCTACTTTCCACGTCTGCGAGTAGGCGAGGACCCGCCAGGTCCGCGGGGCGACTAGCGCTACCAGGGCACCAACCGATGTACTGCGCATGTGGGGAACGTGTGCACCAGCTAACTGTAGAAAGTAGTATAAACAGAAGTAGTCCGAGTCCGCTTCCGAGTACATTTGAGGCTTTATGCATGTACATTTAAAAAATGTAGAATTTAAATCCTCTTCACTTGAAATGGAAAGTAGCATAAATGCAGTCAAGTTGTTTTAACTTAAAACTGTGAGCTAAATGAATGCAGAGATATATGTCGGTCAGTTAAGGGAAGTTTTTTTGCATTGATAAAGTAAAAGATTTTGTTTTAATTCAAAGTATCAAGTTGAAACAAGTTATGGAAAGTTCAATCAACTCAAAAAACAATGATTAGACAACTACAACACTGTAATCATATCAACTTTATGAACCTTAATTTGTGAGTTGAAAGAACGACATTCTTCAAGTTGAGCTAACTTTCATTGTCAAGGCAGCAGGTGAACTTTTAATAACAATCATTCATTTAGCTGACTCTCCAAAGCAACTTATAATTGCTATATATGTCAGAGGTCACACCCTCTGGAGCAACTCTTAGGTGTTTTGCTCAGGGACACAGTGGTGTGTCACAGTGGACTTGAACCCGGTAGACCAAAGGCATGTGTCTTATCCTGAACCATCACCACCCCTGAACTTGCATTTCCAAGTTAAACTAACTTGAAACGTCATACAGTGTAAGTTTGCATTTGATTACATATCAAATAAAGAGGACCAAAACGTGAGAAGTGCCCATAGAAATAATTTGATAACCAGAAGGATTTTTGTGTTTAAGGCAATGAATGTCAAAAGTGGATTCCTATTATTTAATGAAATTAAAATGTTATAGAAAAGAGCTTGAACATTATAGAGTTGATACTAATTGAAAATGTAGTGTTTGTATAGCCTAATCATTACTGAATACATACAGTGTAATTTATATACTGTATATATGAGAGTGGTGGAAGAAGTACTCTGAGCCTTTACTCATTATAATTATGACATTATTAGATTGTAATTATTGATGCAGTTTTAGGCAGTTTAGTTTAATGGTTCTCACCCCACTGGCTGGTCCCTTCCAAAGGGTCATAACATAAATCTGAGTGGTTGCAAGGTGAGGGGTAAAAAAGAAAAACAGTTTAGAGGGAAAATGTTTCTTTGCTGGAAGTGCTAACCACTGCAGACAGAAGATTGAAAAAAGTATTGACAATATGTTGCCTTTTATAAACTTATATGTATGTATTTTGTGTTAAATCAAAATTTTGTAAAGAAGTGATTATGTCTGTCATATAAATTTAGTGGAGTAAAAAGTACAATATATCCCTATGAAATGTTGTTAAATAGAAATTTTAAATAGCAGAAAATGGAAATAATGAAAACCTCAAAATTGTAGAAGTACAGTAAACATACTCTACATACTACAAAAATACTTTAAAGCTACATACAGCACATTTACCAAAAAGGTGGTGTATTGCCTTTGATAAATGTATTATAACATATCAAATCAAATGTCCCATCTTGAACTATTTGTACTCGAAGCACATTCTTTTTTATTTTCAGCTCAGCGAGGCAGCACTCTGACGTCATGTTCTTGAGCAGAATGACATTCCTCTCACAAAGGACAGGATAAGTGATTCCTTCCTTTTTAATCCACTGAACTAATGTTTGTTTCACAATGAAGCCTAGCCCTTTAATTATTTTCTACCATCTCTTGGTCTTATTTGTCCTTGTCACAAACATTTGAGATAAAAACAATTACTTTGTCATCAAGGACAGAGAACACAAGCAGCCAAGACAAATATGTGATCTACAGTATGTACTCAAACAGGAAGCAACCAAATGGTTTGTTACGCAATTGGGGAATGTGCCTCAACACAAAGCAGCAACTATTGAAATCTTAAGGTTGTTTTTCATGTGATTCCTTGGTTTTGTCCTGACTCCATTGTACTTTGACATTCATGTGGTAAACACTCGGATTACGCAACAGGTTCACGATTGGATCAGAAGTCTGATTTATGTCTGAATTCATAGTCAGAAAATAATTGTGGTCTTACCTATCCGAGTTGATCCTGTCCTGATCGCACTGCCGTCAGTCTGCACTGCTTCTATTCACAATTTCAGATAACAATACATAGATACCACAAACGGTCTACACTCAACAGGTGCACCACGGTGTGTGTGTGTTGTCAAGGAAGGGGCAGTGCTTTAGACAACGGCACGCTCAGTTGAAACTCCACCCTGAATGTTATCTGAGCTATGCTTCAGCTAACCTACAGCAAGACACCAGGAAATGCTGGAGGTTAAATTAAATGGTATGTGGTTAGCAAAACAACAAACTCTCAAAAATGCGCTGTCAAAAATCACAACTCTCTTTATTAAAAATACAAATTTACAGTTTAATTAAACTATTTCTGACCATTAGCAGTCTACTTTAAGTTATTGCCAAAACACTATCATATAAGTCGTGTTTGTGTTTCAACCTGTATTTCCTTATCTAATTTGGTATCAAGTTGACCTGAAAGCTACATGGCAGTAAGAGAAAACTATGTAAAGTTTCTTTTCACTTTATTCCTGAAAAACAGGTTATAAGTTAATGCCACCCTGTCATGGACGAGGAGTTGCAAAGAAGCGATTGATGAAGATTGAGTTAAAGTTGAGTCTGGCAGGAGGAGCCACTCTGTCCTCCATGTGCTTTATAGCTACTTGGGCTGTTCCTCCTGCTGATCCACCTACTGCACCACCTATGATTCCATACAAAACCATTCCCCCTGGCCCCTCTATAGATCCAAACAATGCACCCATAGCAGCTCCCACAACCAACCCCATCCCCAGTCCTCTGGCCAGGGAAGTTCTGAGCCATCCATTGTTCATCTCTGCCTTGGCTCTTATCTCTGCGCCGACAGTGGCGGTGTAGGCATCCTTCTTGTGATACAACTCCTCCGCTATGTATTGCTTCTCCATGTCAGTCCACACCTTCTCTATCTCTGCGGTCCTTTTCTTCCTGAGCCTCTTTTCCTCCTTCTTCACGCTGTCCTCTGCCTTCTGGAAAGTACTGCTGGAGAAGTAGCCCCCTCCCAAAGAGGCCACCATCCGCTCTATCTTCTGCAGCAGCTCTCTGTCCCGGCTGCGATCTCTCCAGTTCTTGTTAAAAACGTGAAAGCGGCCACCGTACTTCTCGATCAGTTCTCTCAGGTGCCAGTCAGTCTTTTTTACCCTGTCTTCAAGGACGGGGTCCTCCAGGTTTCCTTCATGGGCCAGGAGGACCATGCAGTGCCTCACACAGTGTCTTCCAAAGCGTTCCTTCATCAGTTTGGGGCCTCTCATGTCGTTCGCGGATATTTTCTCCATGTCAAAGGCAACAAGAAAAGCATGGGGACCAGGAATACATAAGCACTTAGACCTTCTCAGCTCCATCTTCCTTTTGGGCTGAGATATATCCTTGTCATACATATTTGGTCCATTGATCACAGCCACTCGTCTACCAGCCAGTTCTCCAATATTCTTCCTGCTGTCAGAAATGCTGGTGAAATCTTTAGAAAACACCTCCCTTCCAAGTATGGCATTTGTTAGTAGGAACTGTGACGGTCCACTGCTACCGACCACCATAAGCCTTAATTCCGCAGTAGATCCTGTGAAAAAGTGAAGTTCAGTTGAATTTGAGACAGAAATGACACAGAGTAAATGCAAAAAGTAACGTGCATTTCTCACACTTCTTCATCTTTTAAATGCGTCAAATTCATATGTAATAGATTTTACAAAAGATTCACAAAAAATGTAAACAATTCATGAAAAATTACTCTCTTTGACGTAGATAACTTAAATGTTTTTTGATATTTCAAATAATTTTATGTTTTTCTAACAACGGACTGAGATAATTTGCTCTTTTAGTTTTCTCCTTTAGCCTTACCAAGACTTCAGCCACAGTGGCTCTGTGAAGCTGATATTGTTAACATGCTGATGGTAAGCAGGTATAATGCTTTCCATTTTCACCTCTTTAGCTTAGCATGCTACCCATTGCTAACTGGCGCAAAACACAAAGTACAGCTGAGGCTGATGGGAATGTCATTAGTTTTGCAGGTATTTTATCATAAACTAAAGTATGTCCGTATGAGATTTCATGGCAATCAATCAAATACTTATATGTTAAGATATTTAATTCTGGGCCAGAGTGTTGGTGGATTGACCATTCAACGGCCATTACCATATATGGCTAAAAATTCAAGAACTAATGTTAGACCCCTTTAACCTGATAAAAGCTAAATTGCATACTTGCAGGCAAACTGATATGGACCACCATTTTTAGTTTTATAGCTTTATTTCAAGTAACCAGAGCATTCATTTCCATGTCATTTGTGTTTAATCCCTGTTTATATTAAATATGTGAGCTTACCTTTCTTCCTCTTGTCCATTTGGCAGATTTACAAAACAGATTCACTCTTTTATTTTGGATTATCATTAAGTTCTCTAGCTTCTCACTGGACTGAACTCATCACCATAACTGCAAACTATTAACTGTACATCCTTAACCATTTTCCTAATCTCTCTCTCTCTCTCTCTCTCTCTCTCTCTCTCTCTCTCAGTTGATTAGGTAATTGGGAACCAGACACAATATTAAGCGGAAAATGTCCCCAGGGTTGGAAGCTGGCAGTGAGCACATATTGACATTTTTAATGAAAGATTTTAATTAATAACTACTGTGTTTTGTACTTTTGCTGTTTATACCTTGGTTTATACCTGGCTTCTATGAAAGAGGAAAAAAATATTTCTACATTTTCTTTGGAGGACAATTTCGTGGAAGTTGACTGGCTCATTTCTCACGGATTTGTGTAACCATCATCATCACAAATGACTCTCCAGCGTTAATCAGCGGTAATTCTTTGAAGATGAGAAGCACTGACTGGAGAGAGCTGTTTAACAGCTCTAACAGAGCTGAACTGGCTCTTATACCTCAAAATGATGAAGAGATTGAATTAACTGCTAACCTGACAAGTGAATGTTTTTATAAACATTAGAAAAGGGTTTTGTTTTTCCGTTAAAATGAACTCTCTAATTTTAAAGGTGACCCTACAAGGTTAGCTCTCTGTCAGCCCACCAGACCAGTTTTTTCCCGGGATCAGGGAAATCAATAGCTCATTAAATTAGTTTGCTCCTGTGAGCACACATTTATATTGCAAATATAGACAAGTGTCTTTGTGTGTTAACACTGCAACAACAAATAACAGTGTTTACAAAGACCGGCTGACATTTTAATCAACCTCATGCAAAAAAGCATGCAAACATAAATGAGCTACATATTTAGATGTTCATGTGCATTTATTTTTATTTTTTTCACTTGGACATGTAGCCTACTTGTTTTTTCCATATGCATGATACATGTTTAATGCCAGTAAAGTGAAAAAGGTCTGTGATTCTTAACTTATTAGAAATGAATGAAATACCATTTGTCTGATAAACCTTAGGAGTTCATCACAGCTTCGATTCTGATTTTTAAAATGCTCAAGAAAGCCAGAAGGTCTCAGATGGACATTTGGACTCCCTTTATTCCTATAGCAATGCTGATACTTTTAGTTTTTGGATAATTAACACATTCTATTATTCCTCACAATATTCATACAAATTGTAACAACAGCTAAACAGATACCTAATTAGAGTGATCAAGGACCTGGGCATGCACAATTAATCATTCAATAAAAGAAAAGGCTTTTCCTGTGTACAGGGTGTTTTCTTGAAATATTGAAAAGCACATTTTAGCCATTTAGGATTAGTTTGGCACACATTAGCCTGCCTGGGTGCAATGTTTACTAATTGCCTTGTAAACTGTTAGTACGTTGTACACACGAACCAGAAATTTGGTACACTTGTGGATTAGAAGTGTGGGAACTTGATAATGTCAGATTTAAAGAGTTTTATTATTCTTATTTTAGTAGGGACAGTGTGAAAAAAAAATCTCTATTCCCTGTCCTATACTTTCATTGCGATTAATAAATTCAGTAATATATGTTTATAGATTTATTAGTACAGGTGTCATCTTCCATTTCAGCTTTTGGCCATGGTTGTGTGAGGTTTACATGATAAGTTATAGGCATTAAATAGAGGTAAGTGAAAGCAAAACTCAATTCTCAGTTAATCCTGAGCCTATTACTCACTCACATACTTACACTTTAGCACAATTAGATAACAGAGGCTCAAGATTATCTGACACTGCTGTGTAAGGACCAGAGGGCTCTGGAGCGGGTTATTAAAACTGCTCAGAAGATCATTGGTACCCACCTCCTGAGCATCAGTGATATCTGTGAGGTGTGGTACCTATGCAGAGCCCAAAGGATGCTAAAGGACAGTGCCCACCCAGCCACAGCCTGTTCACCCTGCTGCCTTCTGGGAAGAGATATAGAAGTTTCAGCTGCCGCACCACCAGACTGCAGAGTAGCTCCCCCCCCCAAGCTGTCAGACTCAAATTCATCCTCAGCGCTGCTCCATTGATCATTGAATATTGTTTATTTCTGTTTACCATTTTTTATGACCGCTTCTGTGTTAATGTAGTTTATTGTCTGCTATGTAGCAGAAGGGAGTCGCAAAGTTCAATTTCATTATATAACCTTGTGACATTAAAAATGTGCCTACCTACGCACCTAGAATAGATAAAGAGTACATTAAACAGTCAATTACCGTGTGTACTTGTTGATAGCGGATAGGCAAACTGTTACTCTAGTTCAACAGCGCGCCTGTGTGGTCAAACGTCGTTACACACAAAGAAGAAATCACATTTAGGCCTACGTATGTCCTGTTTGGAGCGACGTCACGGCAACCAGGAAGTGACTTGTAAACAGACCGTGGATGTATTATTATAGCACGATACTTGATAATTACTTTGCGCTACTTTGTAGTTACTTTGGCCACGTTGTTTTCATGGAAACTTTTATACATATTTTATCTTTATGATGGAGCCAGACGCGTGTATAGCTGCACTAATGCGACCCTGTGTTCAAGTGAAGGACAACCTAGATTCAGGACGCAGACAGGCAGTTAAATGACAGAGACTGTCACCAGAATGATCAATCACACGCTGCGGGCGACCAGACGTGCCTTCCCTCCCGGTCTGCGCTGCTTTTCTCACACTTCTGCCGGGGAAATAATTGAGGATGTGTTTGACTGGTCAGGCTCTCTACGCCTCACAAAGCAGGCGTCTCTCTACGTACACGTGAGCTGG